TAGATTCCTTAATTATGGTACGAGAACCGTGAAATAAATAAAGCTACAAATACTTGTAAAAATGGCGGGAGAAAAACCTAACCTAAATCTAAACCTAAACCTAACCTAAAACAATTTTTTGTTCTTTTTTTTCGGTGAATCACATTTTTACCCAAACAGTCGATTAGATTTCTTAATTATGGTACGAGAACCGTGATGAGAAATAAATAAGCTACAAATACTTGTAAAAATGGCGGGGGAAAAAACCTAACCTAAATTTAAACCTAAACCTAAACCTAACCTAAACCATTCAACTACGATTGACGTAATAGATGAAATAAACACTTGAACGAACTAAACTTGCGTCTTTTATGGAACGCATTGTTTTCTATTTAGCGTTTAGAACCGCAAAACCCCAGAATCTATATAACGAATTTAAAATAACTCCCTCCAGATAAAAATTCCCCCCCCCCCAAAAAAAAAAATCGCTTATATGGTACAAGAATCGTGATAAGTCTTTTGTCTAAATAAGCTACAAATGCTTATAAAAATGGAGGGGAAAAAACCTAACCTAAGCCTAAACTTAAACTTAACCTAAACCATTCAACTACGATTGACGTAATAGACGAAATAAACACTTGAACGAATTAAACCCTGCGTCATTCACGGAATTGTTTTCTATTTAGCGTTTAGAACCGCAAAACACCAAAGTCTTTAGAACAAATTTGAAATTAAATCCAGACAAAAATCCAGACACAAAAGTTAAAATTTAAAAATTCCCTCCAAAGAAAAAAGAGAGAGAGAGAGAGAGAGAGAGAGAAAGAGCAAATTACATCTTTCTAAATCAAATCAAGCAAACGACTCACCATTTCGTCGAGGCTCTTCAGATCGTTGGTGACGATCTGCGGCTGGGGCCCGTAAATGAGACAGGGCTCCTCCTGTTGCATGTCGGCGTACTCGTCGTCGCTCTCCTCGTTCCCGGCACCGTTCCCGTGGGCACCGTTCGCCGCCTTGTTCTCCGCGGCGATCTCGCGGTCGATCTGCCTCTCCATCTGCACGAGCATCGGCGCCAGCATGCCGAATTTCGCGCCACGCCTGGCCACCTCCAACAGGCAGAGGATCACGTGCCGTTCGTTCTTGCGCATGATCAGATCGTCGGTCTCGAACAGCAAGCACTCGATGATCCCGAGGCTGTTGCGGCACCAGCCGATGAAGTTCGACACGTTGTCGCGGGCGAAGAAGGTGCCGGCCTTCGCGTTCGGCAGGAAGGCCACGTCGCTCAGCTGGCTCATCGGCAACGCCAGCGACGAGGTCATCGATCGTGTCATCGAGATCTTGCGCGCCTGTCGCCGCGCCACGTACTCCGCCGCCGATTTCCGTACGTTGTTCGCGTGCTGCGAACACGAAACGATACAAAACGGTTAGATGAAACAGTTGGAACAAGGCGTGCGTGTCTACAATGTTGCGTTTAACACGTTCGAGACGGGCGTCAGTCCCTGCGGACCGACGCTTACAATCAGTTTAACAAGTACACTTGATTTTTTATTAATATAAAAGTACAACAATAAATATGATAAAACAATAATAGGATTTCACATACTTCGTACCCTTCGCGCAAATAAATATTAGTATAATATCATTTACATTAAAAAAAAAAATATCGCTGTATACTGAAAGCATTGAGATCGATATTTTTTTTTTTCTTCCATTTAGAATAGAAAATCTTAATACGATCGTACCTAACCTAATTTACTCTCCCGCTGCTGCTGAAATACCGACCGAGTTTATCGAACGATCAGATAACCGCGTTGACCTCGCGCCGCGATACATTGATTCGTTTCTGATTAATCGCCGAAGGCAGCAAAAATAGAGACAAGAAGGACCTGGCCTGTGTAATACAGGTCCGCCGGTGGCGCACGACTCGACATTAAAACGATAGACAACGCGGCCTGTTATTAGAGGCGTAGATCGGTTACTCGCAAGCTCATTTACATCATCCCGATATCCAATTATCAGCCGGTTGCTTAAGCAGGCAGCATTATCGATGATAAAAGCGTGTGTTACGATGTGTTACGGTGTTTACCGCGCCGCGGAATAGAAGCGAGGGACTCTGAAACACGCCTCTCGCAACAATATTTATCGCCGCGAGTGAATGTTAATGCGCGCGGCGTTATTAATGGAACAATTAGCATCGCGGGTGTTTAAGATGCTATCTAACCGGCTGGCCCGTGTCTGTTTGACTCTTTAATCAGTGAGCGCGGTGAATGTCAGTCGCTGTGGCACTCGCCAACAAGGAGAATCAGATACGCGAGTATAGTTAGGCATTGCAGCATCGGGACGAATAATTCGAATTCCGTTGGAAGGTTTCAGATTTCCACCGCCGGGTCCAGTGAATTTTCGATTAATTTTCGAATGGATCACGTCGAAGTCGTTGTTTTCAAGTCGAAATTGAAAAGCAGAAAAAAAAAAAA